TTTATCCTCTGGTACAGTTTCAACGTTTTTATTCCTCGCCATTTATTCAGAGTTTATTTAATGCGTATCAACAAATACTCCAACCGTTTAATTTACGATTTCCGAGGATCGTGTACTTAGAGGCAGGGAATTCTCATTATCCTGGGGTTGCGGTCGTAGTCGTGTAACAAAAGGTTGAGCAGAGTAAGTTTCGGAAAATGCGAGGAGAACCAGTCGTTGGCAAAGGTCGTCGTTTCGCGAGATTGCATCGCGCTCATTAATGGATCATCGCGATAACGGCGACGCGATGCGGCGCGAAGGTCCCAGGTCCGGGTCGTTAAAGGCAGTCGTCACGAAAAAGGACTCGGGCGGGCTTCCAGCTGTCAGCCGCGACCAATTGGGACTGAAAACAGGGAAGGTACGTCTGTTCCTAACGCCTCGGTTCCTCGTTCGAAAAGACTTCTCTCCGGTGACTCCTCTGTCCAGCTCGTTGGATGGCTAAATTGTCTGCTCCTTCTCCGACAAACTCTATCTCCAGGCATTGTACTGACATAGTACGGTGTCCCGATATTTATTTTACCGGATGCAACGTTCCTTATATGTTCCTACTGAGAAAGAAAATATTCTTCAAGAAATAATTTTCACGTTCCTTTTTATAAATCATGTAATTAAATCTAATTTCTTTAATTTAATAAAAATTAAGAAGTAAAATTAAGAAAGTTGTTTTGTATTCAATGAGTAAAATTAAGAAAGTTCTTTGTATTCAATGAATAAAATTAAGAAAGTTGTTTTGTATTCAAGTGCATTCACTGCTTAATGCAATTATTTACTCGGATTCTTATATTTACATATTCTCGAAACAATATAGAACGTTGCCACGATTTAACCCATTGTCATAACAAAGGGGTGTATCGTAAATTTATACTGCGCATAGTTCGCAGTGGCTAACGACAGGAAGAATGCCATCGAGTCGGGCATCGAAAGCATTCCTGGCGCGATCCACGAGAAGTACGGAAGGAAGGAAGTTTGGAAATAGTTCAAAGCGACGCCGTAGAATGTCACGGATCCTGATTAACCGCGTTCAATTCCGCGCCTCCTCTCTCACCTTGGCAACGATTATTTATAAATGAACTCTCGTAGATGCATTACGTGTGCGCATATGATTCTCGTAGAGCAAGAGAGAGGAGGCGTTGGAATCCGGAGATCGATAATACCGAAGCCTTCAACGGGGAAGTCTAAATTTATACTGTCGGAATACGACTGTGCGTGTTTAGATAACATTTACATGTCGCACGACACGGCGCAGGGAGTTAGTACGAAATTTTCAAAACTTCATGCAGATTTATTCATGAAAACCTGGCCGAACTTGCCGCGAGTAGCATAACCGGAGGTTGGGGGTCAAATAATTCCACTTTACACTTCCGAGTTCTGAAATTATGCGTATACCTACGTAGTTACAAACGGGATACTATTTGTTACGAGCAATTATCACAATCGCTCGTTCAGAGAAACTGTATTTTCCTAAGTCGTATGTGCTTTTGATCGTTTCAAACAGAAATAGAGTCCCTGGGGTTAACTGCTAATTGTCATATAATAAGTTCAGTTATGAATCAAACCTTAATTTGAATTCGTGACGTCAGTAAGTTCGCATTTATGAATATTTAGTATGGTAAAGAAAGTTGTTTTGTATTCAAGTGCATTCACTGCTTAATGCAATTATTTACTCGGATTCTTATATTTACATATTCTCGAAACAATATAGAACGTTGCCACGATTTAACCCATTGTCATAACAAAGGGGTGTATCGTAAATTTATACTGCGCATAGTTCGCAGTGGCTAACGACAGGAAGAATGCCATCGAGTCGGGCATCGAAAGCATTCCTGGCGCGATCCACGAGAAGTACGGAAGGAAGGAAGTTTGGAAATAGTTCAAAGCGACGCCGTAGAATGTCACGGATCCTGATTAACCGCGTTCAATTCCGCGCCTCCTCTCTCACCTTGGCAACGATTATTTATAAATGAACTCTCGTAGATGCATTACGTGTGCGCATATGATTCTCGTAGAGCAAGAGAGAGGAGGCGTTGGAATCCGGAGATCGATAATACCGAAGCCTTCAACGGGGAAGTCTAAATTTATACTGTCGGAATACGACTGTGCGTGTTTAGATAACATTTACATGTCGCACGACACGGCGCAGGGAGTTAGTACGAAATTTTCAAAACTTCATGCAGATTTATTCATGAAAACCTGGCCGAACTTGCCGCGAGTAGCATAACCGGAGGTTGGGGGTCAAATAATTCCACTTTACACTTCCGAGTTCTGAAATTATGCGTATACCTACGTAGTTACAAACGGGATACTATTTGTTACGAGCAATTATCACAATCGCTCGTTCAGAGAAACTGTATTTTCCTAAGTCGTATGTGCTTTTGATCGTTTCAAACAGAAATAGAGTCCCTGGGGTTAACTGCTAATTGTCATATAATAAGTTCATTTATAAATCAAACCTTAATTTGATTTCATGACGTCAGTAAGTTCGCGTTTATGAATATTTATGAATGATAGCTCTGTTGCAGATACAAAGAGTTACGTGTTCTTAGTCAAAATACCTAATTGATCAATCAAATAACATAAATTTTATAATCTCAGATCGATTTATCTAAATCTTATTTATTTTATTCCCCGATGGATCACGCGTTCAATCGACGGTTTATTAAGAATCGAGTGCACTCTAGTCGGGTATGTTACGCGTGTATCGAGTAATTAGCATTTTTTAATCGATCGCTCGGAGTAACGTTGTAATTGGGCCACCGTTGGGCTTGATAAGTGCCGATTGCCACTTAAGCCGCGGCACGAGTGCTGGGTAAACGTCGAACGCGGCTGATCACCAGCCGAAGTAGAATAGGTCTGCGCCGAGTCAGACTCTGCCAAGTCAAAGTCCCACGTTTCGTGTTTGCGCGTACAGTGACTACCGAAAATAAGTGTTCCTATGTACATCATCGAATGTTTATACGAATTTATTGTCTGTACAAATTTTTTATTTAGTTACAAGCATTTAGCAGTTGAAAAAAATGTAATAATTTTTCTTACACAGAAGAATAATTTTTAAATTTCATTTTTCATTCATAAATACAACTAGTGAATAAATGAATATATTCTGAGACGTGTTTAACTTTTGATGCTCGCTGTACATATTGTAAACGCCACGTTCTCAACCAGGAAACTCTCGAAACTTTGCTATCGAACACTCCCGCGCGAGTCGATAATTATTTCTCAATTTTCCTCCGTTATCTTCGCTCGTTTCCACCTTCCCGGTTTCCCTCGACCCGCGAAAATTTCAATTGGCCCGAAAGAAGCAATCAGACGAGATTTCGAGATCTCCTCAGGAATCCTGCGGCCCGGAATACTCGAGTTATCATTCAATTGTACCGAAGAAAATCAGCCCCGAGTTATCTACGACTAGCAGCCTCTTCCTTCAAACGCGGCTGTTTTCTCGAGATGGCGCGGCCAGTATATCGAGATAGGTACACGTCTACTTCCACGCTTTGTATTTGTATCAATTTATTACTTTGCGTATGGTATTCGCGTTGCAATAATGATCCTATTGAATTCGATGAAAATGGTATAAAAAATTGTGAGCGTCATTCGTCGTAAGAGATCCGTTATGGCATTTAATGGGACCGGCCTCGATTTACCAAGCTCGTTTCTGCAAGAATCTCCGTCGCGTTCTTTGCATAATTAACCCCCGGGGAGTCTTCGAAGGTGCCCGCGGCTAGCAACAAGGCGTTTAGGCCGACTAGTGTCTCCAGACAGTAAATTCCCACGTGGCCAACTGTCGAGAGCTGAGGAAACAAAGGGAGTGGAGCTTAGAAGCTGGGTATGCATAATGAATCCCACTTTCCCTCTTCCATCTTCTCTCTCGACGATCCCTCCCCCGATTCGCACTGTTCCGCGTAATTGGTGCGTCTCCGCTCCTGAATCGCTCCCCCAGAATCGTCGACCAAACTTTTTATCCTACCCCCGAAGAAGCCTCTCTCGGGTTTCGCGTATTTGCAAGTCCGATTAATCGCGTTAAGTGGCTCGAGTCGAACCCTTGTCCAAATTGATTAACGTCTTACTGGATAGAGTCGCTTTCGAGTATCTGTGACCCTGTTTCTTGAGACAAACGAGATAGCTATTATTCTTACAATTCAACAAGAGATTTATGGCTATGCCTCATCTTCTCTGTAAAGGCACGTATCCACTCGTGCCATATACTCCATTATAAATGGACTACCGTTGCATCATTACTACATACCACTGTTCATAAATCTTAGAACATTTCTAAGTAATTATTGTGTATCACAGATCTGACAAATATTGCGTGGGAACCGAGTAGTGTTCGCTGTGAATTATGTTAAATCGTATTTATTTGATTGTAATAGGCTGGGATTTTGTATTAATGCCTGTGGCAACACGTTGCAAACACGCTACACCGTTCTAAACTCTATATTAATGACAACTATCAATATCATTCCATCTGGCAAATGCAAAATCCTTGTACTAACATGCGTTTTCATTACTGGTGCGATTCGTGTTCATTACTATGAAGTATTACGTAGACGTATACGGTTGCTACCGATCAATCACTATAACGTGTGTCCAACCATTATCAATATCGTGACAGAAAACAAGGGAGTATTAGAGAGTATACAAAATGGCATTGTGTCTGATTAAATTCGACGAATATTTGCAATAAAAATGGAATAAACGTTTCCTTTTACAAATGCTATCATCCATTTCTATACAAAATATTCTTTATACTGTACATCAATGTTTGTAGTTCTACAGTGCCAGATTCTGTATGAACAATATTCAAAAGTGAATCGTTAACAGAGTGAGAATTCACACCAAAAAGAGGTACATGCTTTCAAAACCTGACGATTTATCAATTTTTGTACGATTTATTGACTGAGACACGTATACAGAACGTGGGGGAGGGGGGGGGGACAAACGGCGGACCCGCTGGAGCGATTTACCTCTTTTACCTGAGCAGACTTCGAACGGGGATCGGCGACCTGGACGGTCTCGTCGGGAGGTAGCCGCCAGGAGTTCCTCTCGATGTTGACGCTGGCGTTCATAGCGGCCTCCTCCTCCGCCTCCCGTGTCCTTCGTCGTTTTCAACAGCTTCGTTCTCGCGCGTGCTAATCCCCGAGGTCCCCAGGGTAACCCCTGGGCCACTCCTGGGGCCGAGGTCCTACGCCACCAATCCACAGTTCCTCACCTGCAACACGTCCAATCAAAATTTTCACATTCAACTTTCCGTATAAATTCAATTTTCATAAAATCCACGTGACAGATACGATTCCGGTCAAACAACCGCGCACCTGAATTGCCAAACTGAATATCTTAATCAAATGTTTTTTCTATTCGAATAACAATGGGAATCTTCTTTTCAATATGCATGCATATATGAAGTTTTGAAAATGTATCAGAGATCACCACTTTGCTAGTACATAGCTGTACTTGTTAGATACAAGAAAGGTTGTGTATACATATATGTATCCTTGACAAGCTGTACAAATGCAATTGATCCTTCCTCCAACTGTTTCTATCTTCATTCCATGAGCTCGTTCTTGTAACATACTTCGATATTTGATTCCGGAACCCAGATAAGAGCAACTTGATTTTCTTCCATTTCCAATACCAACCGTCTAAAACTTCGACTCACCGTCGAGACTATCTAAAACTGTACGAGTACCTATTACAAGAGATAACAAAGTGTTCCACGATGCTTAAACTAGATGAAAGTAAAAAAGTATCGCCCCACGATTTCATTCGGTTAGCGAGTAATCGAAGAACGATTTCTGGAAAGGGGATCGGAGAACAACAAGAAACGTTAACTGAAAATTCAATCTCTGATTCAAGTAATTGGCAAGTTAAACACAAGAATGGTAAATGGCGAGTTGAGGCCTTCGGATTCGAGTCGATCACTTCTAGGACGATTAATATCGACTTTTGATTAAAGCCGTTGTCTGGCTAGAGTAGAGGAAAGGTTAAGGACAATTCTAGCGAAATGTCATGGCAATTCGCGTGAAACGCTTCATCGGCTATCGTGCCTTTAGCCTTATTATTTCATTCGATTTTTATTCTGATCAACGGCTATGCGGAACCACGTATTTATAGCGCGGTTATCCATTAACGGGTCTTCTTGCAACAAGAATATATCAATCTTACTCATTTTTGACGTGATCTATTCACAGTTTCGACGACACGAGAATGTTGACACAGCTTTTCCCATAGTTTATTACGAAATTATTAGCTTTTACATGGACGATGTTAATTAGACCGCATCTTTGTTCTTTTGATGTACGACGCTTTTCGGCAATGTCAACAGATTCTTTAGACCAGGGACAACGTGAATAAACCCGTGCGAATCAGCGGCGAGGAACGCGGACAAAGGATAATTACGAATTCCCAGGGGAATTAAGCCTGAATAAAGGATTACACCCGTTCAGTCTGACGACTATCCTCTATGAATAATTTAATTAAAGTCGAAATTTCTCCGTCGGGAACGCGTGCTAGCTGCGGCCATTAATTTATTTTCGATTTAAATTTAAAATCTCAGCTGTGTACACATGCAAATTGCGATTGCAAAACGTCGGGATGCGTCGCATGTACACGGGCAACTTCTAAGAGACTTATCGTAAACCAATCGACAAACTTGCGTCAACTTCTGTCTTTCAACCGTTTAATGAATTAGTAATTTGTCTAATAGGGTTACCTCATTTGCATCATACGCCGTCATAATTGTTATAGTGAAAATGAATAGAATATTTCATGTAATGATTAATGAAATTATAATTTATTTATTGCTTGAGTACAATTTTCCAGTTAAGACTTAAGACTTATTGTACATATTTCGCATTCCATTAAAATTGATCGATGTCGTTTCGTTATTGACACATTCGGTATCATTAAAGTTCCAGTTACACGAGCAATCATTCAGCACAAACGACTATATGCAAATAAATGTACAGACCCGGTTAACATTTACAATCTTACGCAACCTAAGACAGGGACGAAGGTTTCGTAAGTTTCAAGAGAAACGACGAATTTACGTAAGCAAACGAAACACGGGAAAACGACTGATTACCAGAAACCTTGTAAGACGGCGCAACAGTTTTTCATCGACGTCCGCATAAAACGGAAAATTGCACGAGAATACAGTTCACATACGCCCGTAAGATCATCTCAGTTTCCCATTCGGTTCAACGTGACGCGACGTCGTAAAAATGCTATGGAACCATCTCATTCACCGTCACCCCTTTCTAAATTCCAATAGCACATCGTTTTATGGCCGATCCGCGAAATTACTGTTCGAACTCGCCATTCCAATAGATCAGGATTTATTATGTACCCTTCTATGAATTTTTAGTAAATAATACCGTGCTTAACTATAATGAGTGTAATATTTGAATATCATTCGCGAATAAGAGTCTGAAATAAGAGCACATTTCGAGATAAATCGGTTGGAAGATTGCACTGCACTCGTAATGTTGTTTACTATACCTTAGAGGATCGAAAGAGATTCATATAGATTATTGTTACTCAGTTCTCACCTAAATGTGCTATAGACCCTAATTCCCAGTTGATAATGAATTTTCCCAAAATCTGATTCAGTCTTTAGCGAAAGGGATTAGCCAAAAACTTGGACAAGCTCGTGCCTAACAAATGAACCGGCAAAATCGCCGGCTAACTTTTAATGATATTATCCTTGCTCTGGGCAACGCAGTGTCGAGAGCTCGTCTATTAAATCGTTTCCTGAGATCTTCTCGCTTTCTTCTCTCGCGGACCGCTTCATCGTTCGTTTCCTCCTTCTCAGAGAGACGGGGACAGAGAGGCAGCGTTTGCGGCGAAGTTAGATAATGAGGGAGCCAACGGCCGGCCGAAAGCTATTGCCCGGAGGAATCATTTAATTACATCACGGACTTCTTTTCATTCGTCAGAAAGTCGATAGGAGGCGGACGCGAGAGATTGGCGACGGAGCACTTTCAACTTTCCAACGCGTCTTCCATCCTTCAACACGGATTAACCTTAATTAAAGTTTCTTCGCTTATATCCTCCACTTAAACAATGCCGTGGAAGAGGCCCGAATTGCGATCAATGGATCGTTTTAAGTTTGATCTTCAGATTTCTAGCTCCAATGCTTTGCACTTGGTAAATATTAATTTTCCACTAGAAGTTCTTTGCTTTCGTTCATTTCTATTTTCACGTTGTCGATGAATTTCGATGAACGTGTGTCAGTCGACAATTTCTCAAATTGCAAAATCAAGCAAACAATCCATTTACCAGGATATACTGTATCTGGTAACAGATAGGAACATTGCACGGGGAGCCGCCTAGTTATTCGAGTACTCGACGATTAATAACGACCGCAGGGATGAATCGCAAGACCGCTGGAGAAGGAAGAACGACGGAAGGAGGACGTTGTCCTCGTGAAAGGGTTACCGCGTTATACCCGGAGGTCGTGACGTCAGAAGGGGGTGTATTACGTCAGCAGTGCGGCAGACTGTGTGGACTCGGGGCTTCGGTCGGGAGTGGAAAGGGACGTGGGTGGAACAGGGCTGTGAAAAGGGGATGCAACCGATGTGGCGGGGTCGGGGGAGGCAAGGGTTGACGTAAAATAAGGTCGGCTACCCCGGATTTCATTCATCAGTCACAGTCCAGAGTGGCCGGGGCTAACTGGATTAATTCTCCGCAGTTGTCGTCCCTGTCTAAGTATAAAGGAATCAAAAAACGTAATCCGGATCGATAGAAACGTGCGTGTGTATGCGTGCGCGTGTGTAAGAGCAAGGAAGTGTTAAAAAATTGTCAAACGGATTTGTATCACGAGATGGCATATTTTTTGGGTAAAATATTGTTACAATATTTCAGAATTATCACGCCAGTTGCGTGCTATTGCCAAAAAGATTTGGAAGCACCGGTTCATAATTTACGAGGGCAAATAATACCGAAGCAGACGTAGTCATTTTCCTGTGATTTCACTATTTTTCATTTATGGTCTACGTAACACCACGTAGCACCACGGTTTATAAAAAATATTTTGCAACGCGCAATGTTTTTTATGTTTAAAATTTGCTTTTAATTATATCGCCTGAAACGCGTTCTTGTCGGTCGGATAGTCGCTCGCTGGAACCACGCAATCGAGTTCTTGCACTTGGTGTTCGTTAACCGTGAACGATAAAATTATTTGCACGGTACGTCATAAAAAGGGAAGCTTCTTAACGGTAATCGAATTTTCGCACGACGCGGCGCGACACGACGACGCTGCGAATAGATCCCATGGATCGTCGTCGACGGTCGCTTTTTTCACTACCGGCAGTACTGTCCATTTTCTTTCGTTCGCGAACCAGCCGACGCCAAATTGGCTCGTTAAACTTTTCTTGTGATCCGTCCCTTTCCGCGGCTCATTTTCTTCTTCTTCTTCTTTTTTTTTCCTTTTAGGCTACCAATTCTCTCAGCCGAAGATCAAACGTTTTTCTATTTCGTCCGATAAGAAAGGCTGTTTCCTTTTCTCAGACATTGAAAATAATGAACAAGAAGATTGATGAGTTCCTGGCGAAGTAGAATAATCCGACGCATGGTCAGACGAGTCTCCAATTCTATTATTAACAACTAATCTCGAGGAACTTTCCATTTTCCATTTTTATTTTCCAAGCGTTTCATATAATTTTTTTATGAAAACATGGTCCCACCTCTGGCACTTCTTTCATGTCTGTCGATAAGCTTCTCACCGTTTAAAGCAAGCTCTCACTCGATGATAACGTAATAATATTTTAATACCGATCGAGCGACAGAGCGGGCCATTGTTTTCGTGTGATGAAATTTTTATGGAAAACGACGCGGTGACACGAGGATAATACTCAGGCTCGCATAACCCCTTTAACGTTACAACGATCCGGCCGATCGTGTCATCCGAGTAACACAGCCATAATCATTAATATCGGTCCACTTTCCAACCGCTCGTCGTTCGATTTTTCACTCGCGCGTCGCGTTAGTCAGAAACGAGTTATCACCAAACACGACGCTTCGCCCAAATCGTTAATTTTCATGGAAAATTAACGATACCCTGCCGGGTTTTACGCGCAACGCGATATTACAGAATCTGATCAGCCACGCGACGCTCGACTGGGAGCCGATACTCCTTTCTGCAACGAAACGTGTTTTCGACGCCGCGGCGCGGCGCGTCGCGCCGGTGATTTATGGTTCCGACCGGAGAAT